AAAAAAAAAAAAAAAAAAAAAAAAGAGAGAGAGAGAGAGAGAGAGAGAGATTATCAAGTTGAGTTAATTTTTAAAAAATGTGCAGTGTACATGGCATTTTTTATAGACATATTTAATTTAAATAAAAACTTAAACATACCATCAACAATAACGAAAAAAAAATAAAAAATCATTTTCAGTTCATATAATTAATGAACTAGTTCTTATCATTAATTTAATTTACAATATTGTGACTATTGTTGCAACACAGCTTTTTCCACAAATGTGATCCACTTTATTAGTACGTAATATGTCAGTGTGTGTGGGTGAAAACTGGGTTTCATCACAAAAGTAGGCATATGGGGAACTCAGGCTAGTTATGGTGCAGAAAAGAAATCCACCCAGAAAGGAAAACAAGATCAACTGGTCAAGGTCACGCTCACGCGCCGTCTGCCATTTGATCAGATAGAAGATAAACTCAACGGTCTCTCTCTCTCTCTCTCTCAATAACCGTGCATCCATGCCACATATTTTAAGTTATATTGTATTTTAATAATCAAATCATATCATCATGACTTGGTATATTACCCTAAAATGACAAGGGCTTGAATAGTATATTAATGTGACACGTGTTCAATAGTATATTAACATTCATTATATTATTTTATTAATAATTATATTAAATTAATAATTATATTAATAAATAAATTAATAATGTCTAATAAATCATGACTTAATATTATTTATATTTCATCTTCATAGAATGGTTAGGTTTTACGTTCGCTCGCCAAGCCTATTACAACCCTCCTCCTTTATTAAAACTTGGGACCTGTTATGTTGAACAACATAGGTAGAGTTATTTAATATTGTTTATATAATATATTTATAATAAAATCATAATATTTCTTCTCGTGTGTGCGCGCGCATCACATGCCCATTTCAATGGTGTGTGGTATATGGTAAGGCAAAATTTCAATTCAGGTCTAAATTCTTTTTTTAGTACACTAATTTTCCTCCCATCAATAATAGTAACGCTATGTTGCAATTTATATCACTATTGGTATATTATCCCGAAAAATGTTCATTATTTTGGGATTAATTTTCTAAATGATACAAATTGCAACATAAAGTAATGTTTTTTATGAGTAATGTCCAAAAAATAATACAAATTGCACTATAAATTACGATTAAGTTAGTATACCAAAAAAAAACTTTAGACAAATTGATGGACCAAAATTGAAATTTTTCCAAATATATGTTTATTCATATTGGTTATCAATTTAAGTCCTCACGAAAGCATTTTTCAATATATATATGTATATATTGAGAGTGTAAAATAAAAGGCTAGAGCTTTATTGATATAAAATATAATATATTACAAAATTTTATTTACTATCAGACGAGTCATCTTATTTTGTAAAAAAAATGTATAATCATACTATTGAATATTATATTATATCATACGCTTATTATGATGTTTTTAAAAGTATGAATTTGTTTTAATGAAAATATGCAGCCATAACACAAAACCTACCAAGCATATATTAATAACCAACTTTTAATAGTATAGGGGATATATCTTTAACCAGTCTGAACTATCACGATTTTGACGCATCACTATTATACTTTTTTTTTTTTTTACAAACCTCCATTTGAACTATGTGGGTCTGTGGGGTGGGGCTGTTCGATCCTCTTTGGGTTGTGGGTCGGCTTCATCCTTGGAATGGTTCGATACTTGGAACTTATCCTTTGTTAGGCATTAGGCAGTGGCAGGAGTAGTGTTCCGGCTTTCACGTCAAGCTATAGAGTGATTGGTCCTGATTTCGCTGGTGCCTTGTACTGGGTTCGGTTATCTCGCTGGGGAAGGGCTTTGTGTGTTTTCAGATTAGGTTTTTATTTTGGTTGTTCTCTTTGTGTCCTTGTTTTGTGTCCAGGTCTGTGTTCTTGTTTAGGCTGTTTGGCCTATGTGCGCCCTAGTGTCAAATTTATTATCCTGTTAAGATCCGACACTCGGGTATTACCCTGTTGGAGTCTTTTTTAGTTGTTTTAGTTGTTCGAGTTGTTGATTAGTTTAGTTGGTAGTTTTTATTCTAGCGTTGCTAATTGGAATTTTAGGCGATCTTCTGACCTATCATTCCACTTTTCAGCCGTTGGCTGTTTGTATTTGCACATTTGTGTGCATATAATTTATAATAATATCTATCATTTGGAAAAGAAAAAAGAACTATGCAGATTTGTCACTTTGCCATCTAAAACTAGAATTCAAGTTGTTTTTGTCCAAAACAGTTGTTTTATAAGGATATTTTAGGACTTTCATATATTCTTTTAAAAAAAAAAATAGATGGAATATCCCCACACTCTCATGTACTTTCTTTCAACAATGTTCACTACCATTATATTTTTTAATATATTATTAATAATAATATTAATTTAAATATATTTGAATTTGTATATATTAAATATATTTAAATTTATATTATATTAAAAGTATATTAATATCTATTAACTAATTAAAAAATATATAATTGACCAGTCCGTTCAACCAATTTTGACTGGTTCATTAGAAACCATTTCGTTCAGAGGAATCTACCGCTTAATTGACCGATTCTCAATTCAACAGTCAGTGTGACCTAGTTTTCAAAACAATAGTACTTGATATTATTTTTATTTTTATTTTTAAAACTTTATTATTCTCTACAATTCTATATTTATAATAAAAATAAATTATTATTTTTTCAATATATTTATTATTTGATTAAAATAATTTGAAATATAGAAAAATTTTATAGTAATTATTTTTTTGTTTGTTTTCTTAGTATCTAATATTATTATATACTCACGACATAAAAATTGCGACAAGAAATACATTTAAGATTAAATTTACAACATGGTGAATCTTATAAGACTAATTTTGCAATCTCCTCCATTTTTAAACTAACGACCACCGATCACGTGAATCACATGTGAAAGTTAAGGACTGAGGGAGGTGTATTTAATTGAGAATTTAGAAATGCTCGTGTATTCAATTTAGATTTGTTGAGACTTTCTAAAACTTTTAAAAGTCTTGGGGTATTCATTTGTGATTTTCAAAAGTCTTACAAATTCTGAGGTATTTAACTTATTTGGAGCTTGTTTGGAAACACTTCTTAAATGGACTTTTAGATGTAAAAGTCCATTTGGATTAATATTTATGTTTGGTGTTAAATAAAAAATGGACTTATGAATAAGTTGTTTCTCCAAGAAGTCCATTCTATAGAAGTAATGAATGCGGACTTTTGAAGAATTCCATTTTGTATAAGTCCATTAGAAGTGCTTCCAAACAAGCACTTGATACTAGAATTTTTAAGAATTCTTAAGATTTTGGGGATTTTTAAACAAAAAACCATATACGAAATATCGCTTGAAATCTCACATCCAGACTTAAAATTTCACAATATTTTTTTCAAAATATGAGCTTTAAAAATCTCAAATGTTAAAAAGTTTTAAAATATTACTTAAAATTTCAATTGGATCAATGTTTTAAAACGTGTATAGCGTACTGCGTCGCGTTTTGGTCTTTGTACTGCGTAGCGTAAATATCGTTGCGTGTTGCGTAAGCTATTTGGGTATACAAAATTATTTTTATAGAAATATTATACATATATTTGCATATTATAAAAATTGATGGTTGATTTTAAAATCATCATAATATTTGAATAAATTAATAAATATCATAATATAAATATTTAAATAATAAAGCGAACATACTAAAAAGTAAAAACAGACAACAAAAATATAATAAGGCAAGACGTAGTTTAATTTTAAGTATATGTATTTAATTATTATTTTTGTTTAACTACAACTTAATTCTAACCACTATATATGAACTTTTTATTCTTTATTTAAATGTTAGATATCGAAAATTAAAATGATATAATAGAAATTGACAGATAGATATTGCACTATTTAACTTAAGATTTTACATTTCAAGCTTTTAATTTAAAATCATTATCAAAAGTTTAGTTTTTAGTTGTCATTTGAAATTATGACTCTAATCCTAAAAATACGAGTTTTGAAATATTTTATTATTTAAATATTGTTACATAAATATAGCGCAATGTCGCGCACAATAGCGTGAAATCCTCCCTATATATAATTTTAGAATGCGCTGAGCCTACGTGGCTGCTTCTAGTGCTTCGAAATCCTATTTGGCGAAGTATCATGCTTCGTAATTAGGTTTGAACAAATAATATTAATATATTAATAATTAATAATCTAGGTTCGAGTATTCCATAAATATTATTTAGCTAACTTAGGTATTTTAATATCACTTTTACTAATATAACCCTTTAA